TTTCGGCGCTCTTGGATCCCAAGGTCCCCCCAGCCGGCCGCCGTGACGGGTGGATAATAGCCGGGCTCCAGGGATGATTTCATGGCCATTAACCCCGCTGCAAGCACCGGGGGGGTGATGCCAGCCCTGTCGAGGGGGGGTTATTGGTCCCCAACAGGTCCCCAGGGCAGTGGCCAGAGGGGCAGTTTTGGCCAGGGCCATTCTGGGCTTTCCCAATGGGAACCGGCTCCACCAGGAATGCAGGCAACAAAATTCCTGTGCGAGGAGCATCCGAGGCCGAAGGCCACCTTGTCCTTGGCTGTTCCGAGGCAGCAGCGGGCCAGGCTCCGGGTGGCTGCGATCCGCCGGGACACGGAGCCTGGAAGAGGTTAAAGCGGGGCGAGCGGAGAGCGGAGCACCTCGGATTGGGGCGTTTTAATGACATTCCATTAAAGCTCCCTTTGGGGCCGCGGCGGCCGCCATGTGCTCCCCATTCTCATGGTAATCCGGAGACATCTGTATAGAGGCTCCTTTCTCATCCGCAGGGATCTCTTCAAAGACGCTCCTGGGAAACCCTTCACCTCTGACCCGGGGGGTCAGCCCTGAAACAGTGGCTCTATAGAGCGCGCTACTGTAAAGCCCAGTATCCTTTTTCCTCCCCGAACCTGGCCAGGTCCCGGCTTTTCATGGAATTGGGGGGGCGAGGGGGGTCGGCAGTGGCTCGGAGCAAAGGGGGCATCCATGTTCCCCCCCGCCCCCCGTGCCATTCCCGCACCCGGCCTTTTTGGTACCCGCGGGAATGAGCCAGAGCGTTGAATGAGCCGGAGCTGGGAGAAAAGCGGGCAAAATGCCCCGAAACGGCTGGGAAAAGCTGCTTTCCCGCAGCATCCATGGATGGGTCCGGCCCAGGATGTCCCCAAGGCAGTCGGGTCCCCCATTCCTACACCACTGGGGTGTCCCGGAGCAGGACGGGCCCCATCCGCTTGCTCCCTCCGTTCCTTTCCAAGAAGCGGCCAATGATTCTCGAGGCTGTCGCTCGCTGGCAGCAATAAACCTCAATCACGGCGGCGACACTTGATTTCTGCGGCAATTTGGCGTTAATTAACGAGCGCTTACGGGAAAGCGCGGCCCCCCCAGCCCATACAGCGCCTCGCAGCATCCCCAGCCCCCGGGGTGGCCTACGGAGGTGCCTCCGCTGATAACGGAGGAGGATTCCAAGGGAATGGGGTATCCCGCTCCGTGAGCTGTCCGGCTTCTCCCGCACAGGGAAACCGCAGCCCGGAGCCGGGCAGGGAGGTGTCAAAGGGCTCCGCGAGTCCCCGCTGGAGGGATTTGCCGGCGGGGGCATTTTGGGGGCCGCGGAGGCCGGGGGTGCTCAACCATGGTGTTGACTCAACAAGGAATTAAGCTCATTATAACCTTGCCGGGGGAGAGGGCACCAAATCCTCAGGGGCACCAGGGCATCCCGAGGGCTCCAGGGGAGGAATCGGCGCCGGGGGGGACTGGTGGAGAGAGGATGTGTGAGGGCTCCCCCAGGGCTGTTTCTCCTCCTTGCGGCCTCCCGCATCCGCAGCTGCCCTTGGTAGCTGGGTGGATTCTCTAGTGGCTAATATAGGGGTTGAGCTGCGCCTGGGCCCAAATTGTTCCTTTTGTGCCGCTATCTCCCATGCAGTCCCCATGGAGCGGGCTCCCACACTGGAAGGATGGCAGGGAAATAGGGAAGAGATGAGGGAGAGAATGGGTGTGACAACTGCAATGCGGGAGAAGGCAAGGATGAAGATGGGGATAAGGATGAGGACAGGAACAGGAATGAAAATGGGGTAGGGGATGAAGAAGAGGATGGGGATAAAGAAGAGGATGGGGATGGGGATAAAGAGAGGGATGGGGAGGAGGATGTAGAAAGAATGATCACAGAGATGGAAATAGGGATGGGGATGAAGAGAAAGATGCGGATGGCGATAGGAAGAAGATGAGGATGAAGACAAGGATGAGGATGATAATGGAATGGGAATGAAAACTGAAGAAGGCGATGAAGAGGAAGATGGGAATGAGGATGAAGGAGCCAGTTAAGGTGCAGGGAGATGGATAAAGGGTGGTGCAGACTTCTTGGGGAAGGAACCGGGCCGGGTCTGCAGCATGTGCGGGCACCTCGCGAGGGGCCCCGTGAGCATTCGAGCCCCCGTGCCGGCCGATAAATCCTCCCATCGTATATAAGCCATCCGAGCGCGCCGTTCCCGGATTTTTGTCTGGTGCCTTAATGTCACGCCTGTAAATTAGCTCCGGCACCGTGGCGACCTTGGCGAGTTCTCCAAGAGGAGCGAGCAGGGCCGTGGCGGCGGCGGCGGCTTCGCCCCGGGCCCGGGAGCAGCATCGCAGCGTCCAAAGGGTTAAGGAGCCACCGAGCCCTTCACATAACGTCTACCTACTGACCGCAAACTTACCTCCAAATCCTCATTCTGCCCCGGCACGCACCCCCACACCGGCACACACGTGCGTGCCGTATCCACCCCCTCCACCTTATTTTTTTGCTTTTCCATCTGCTTTTTTACGGCTTTCCATGGCTTTTCTCCAGCTCCCGTAGGAACCCGAAGGCCCAGGGCGACCCCTTGCACGCTCGGCGGGCACGTCCGCCGGCGCCAGCCCGCGGGAGGAGCTTGCGGCGGCCGCGCGCTTCGCCAGGGAATTTTGCCATCTCTCTCTCTTTTTAACTGACATAAATTCCGATTTAACAGATTTTCCTGACAGGCAATTTTCACTTGTTTAATTCTAGTGACAATCAGTAAATTCGGTGGCAGATGGAGCCGCCCGGCGCGGCCGCCAAGCGGGAAGCGGGGCAGCAGTGCCCAGCCCCGACCAGGCGCCGGGCGCCGCGCTCTGCTCCCCGCCAAGCAGCTACTTAATCGATCCATGGCAAAATTTATCTCCCGCCACCAGCGCCCGCCGTTGGATCCCCTCCCGGGCCCCTAAAATTAGCAGCCGTCAGCGCCGCACGCACCGGGATGCAGCGGAGCTGGGATAGCGTTGGATGCAGGAGACATGGGGAAAAACATCCCAGTGGGAGCTCAAGGTTGGCACTGGTCAGGGCTCAACCCGGGTCCCCTTGGTCTCACTTTGCACCGCGCTGGCTCCGGAAAAGCCCCGCGGCCGCCGTCGTCGGGACGCGAAGACGCGGGGACGGGCTGGCCGCTTTTACATGCAAATAGACACAAGACCAGGGAAAAGGCAGCTGAAATAGCCCCCGGTGCGGAGCGAGAAGCAGCAATTTTATACATTCCCCGGACATATTATCCACTATCAAGGAAAGAAAAAATTACTAAAGGCTGCATTTTGATGTGTAAAAACGTCTGCGTCTCCCCCCCCCCCCCCGCCCCACCGCTGATGCTGCTCCAGCCGGCACTCGGGTATTTAAAAGTGTCTCTTTTCTATTTTTTTGGTTATTATTTTTACTTTCCGCCCCATCCTCGGCGTGGCCCCCGTTCCGCTTCCAAGGCCTCCCTTTCCCTGATTGACTTTGATTGACGGCTCGGCCCATCATTTCCACGGAGGCACCTCCTCAAGCTGCAGCCTTCTTGCAATATAATTTTGTTTTCTGCCTTTTTCTCTTTTCCTTTTTCTTTTCCATAGGCCTTGGTGCAGGAGGGGGAGCTCAAAGCAGAGGCAGCTCCCCTAAACCCCCCGAAATATCTGCCAGCCGCCGCACACCAGGTCCCAACCCTCTCCCCCAGGGCAATAACTTTCCCCGTGGCCTTTTCCAACTCGTCCTTGAATTAATTCCCAGCGCCTCGTCTCCTGTTGCTCCACGCCGCTCGCATAATTCAGCCCACTCGGTGTTTGTTTAAAATATTCCCGGATGGACATTATTTATAGAAGGGTCAAATGAAGCTGGGCCCGTGTCCTTTGGTTTGAAAAGGCCACTTTTGACTTTTCTCTAATGAGCTTTTAAAACCCTATAATAAAACACGCTTGACTCCGGCATGGCCATCGCGTCCCCCTGCCGCCGGTCCCGGCTTTGCTCCCGGGGGGCCACAGCTGGGCCTGGGGGTCACATTTGTCCCCTCTGTCACTGCGCTCACAGGGCTGCGTGGGGACTAAGGAACAGGAGCAGACTGGGAATATATTGGGATTGGACTGGAGCTGCACTGGGTTCGGTTGGGAGAACATACAGGAGACTGGAGCTGTATCGGGATCAGGCTGGGAGCCAGCCAGGAATGAGACTAGGACCATTCTGGGATCAGACCGGGACTACACTGGGATCAGACCAGGATTATACTGGGATCAGACCAGGACTATACTGGGTTTCAACTAGGACCGTACCAGGGTCTTAGGCTGGGCCTGGCACCAGGCACCCTCAGCTCTAATTACGATGCTGATTGCAGCAGAAAAAAAAAAAAAAAAAAAAAAAAGGTGTTGGATTATTTTTTTTTAAGAGCAGAAAAAGGCAGGAAAAAAAGAAAAGAAAAAAGAAAAAAAAACAGCTCATAATCCACAGGGGAGCACATTGTCTACCAGACAATAAGCACTTAAAAATAAAAGGAGGGGAAATAATAATAATAATAATAATAATAACAACACAGGCTTTCATTGTCCAAGGGAAACAGAGGATATAGGATATAATATAGGTTTTATTTTATTTTTATAAATAGTCCGCGCCTCTCCCTTTGCACAGGGCTCCCGAAAGCCCCCGTGCCGCCCAGCGCAGGGGCCAGGAGCTGGCTCGGCTTCGCCGGAGCCACTCCCGGAGTCTTTCGCTCCGCTTTGGAGCTTATTTTTTTCCGCAGATCCGAAACCTTTGTTTCTTTTTACTCCCCTCAAACAGGGGATGGGATATGGGGAGGAGGGGAAAAAAAAAATCACCGTCGCTGTCAAGGCCACTGCGGTCATGAGTTCTCTGTTCTCAAGGGCTGGCCGCGGCGGGGAGGGTTTTGGGGGAGACAGCGGGGTGGAAGGGGGGTTCGCGGGTCCTTTTCAAGGCCGTCGCCGCGCTGGCTCCATCCCCACCCCGTCCTTGCCCCCGTGCCCGCTCACTGCATGGCGAGGTAGGGCCAGTTGAAGGTGGATCCCGAGAGCAGCATGTCCCGGATGAGGGTCTCGATGGGCGTCTTGCCCACGAGGCGCACGAAGAAGAGCTGCTCGATGACGGGCGCCGAGACGAGGCGCAGCGAGGGCAGGCGCAGCAGCAGGCGCCCGAAGCGGCTCGGCTGGCTCGGGTGCTGGCTCCGCACGTACTCCTCCAGCGCGCACTGCGACTTCTCCTGCACGCTCTCCACGGGCCCCAGCTCCGACAGCCCCACGGCATCTGGCACCGGGGAGGAAGCGCAGAAAGGGGCATCAGCAGGGCCGTCCCCAAACCCGCCTGCGCTGGGTCCCATGAGCTGGGTCCCCGTGAGGCTTTTTGGTCTTTAAACTTCTCCTCCCCAACCATGAAATCGTCTGTCAGAACATCAGGCTGCAAAACTGCCCTTTGCTGTGGCAAATGTCTCCGCCAAAAGCAGAGATCTGGCAAATTTTTCCCAAAGCCATGTTTCTATAAGCTATAGCGGGGATATTCCATATGTATATAAAATACATATACATATATAATGGTTCAATACATGGAAAACATTGCTAACGGCTTCAGCCTTTATCACTGGAGGAAAATTGGCTCTCCAAGGAGGGGGTTAGGAAATGGCAGGGCTTTTCAAAAAAGGAAACCTTTGGCTCCTGTCATTTTGTTTCTTTGTTTGTTCCCAGCTATTCTGGACTCTCTAACATCATCCACATGAGCCTCCTTGCAGGGCTCATGCACAGCCCGAATCGCAGGCATGGCTCTCCACCTGGGAGCATATGCTGGGCTTGGAATTTGGGCATTTCCAAGAGGTGGAAGTAACCATCTTCCAATGCTTTTCTCTTCCAAATCCCCATGTTTCAGAGTTAAAAAAAAAAAAAAAGAAGAAGAAGAAAAACAACAAAAAACGGGTCAATCCCTGAAGGTGCAACCTCCTCTCCTGAATCCATTCGGGGACACAGGATCTGGGGTGAAGTTGCTTTTGGTTGCTTCAAATGCTGGAAAATGCTTCAAATCCCAACAGATTCCCTTCTTGTGGCCTCCAGCTGGGCTCAAAACCAGCAAGATGAGAGGCTGGTGGCTGCCTCCTGACTGCAGGGCACCAAAAAGATCCCTCTGGGGCTGCCGTCCTGAGTGGAATATCAGCAATTTTTGTCTTTGTTTGGACCTCGGTCCTCCCACACTGCTGCCTTTTATGTTAGATTTTTTTTTTAAGAATTAGAAAGGGTGGGGAGGAAAGCATCTAGTCTCAGCTGGTTTCGCCTGAGACTGCTTGAATGCAACGATCTGAGAGTGAAAAATCAACTACTCCATTTGAAGCCGAATAGACAGGTCCATTTGGGTTCATTGTGGATGAAACAGTTCTGGGTGCGGGAAGAGGTTTCTTCCTGGTGGCCGCTCCCAGGCGCCACCATTGATCCCTCCATGATGGGACACGGAGCAGGGATTTGGGGCACCACAGCAGAGTCAGGGGAACTCCAAGCCCCTCACCCCAAGCCGTCTCATGGGGCAGGAACCACCAAGGAGAGGGGGGGGGGGACATTTTGGCCACACCTTGTTTAGCCACGCCCCCTCCAGCCGCACCCCACTAAGTCCCACCCATTTACTCCCACCCCATTCAGCAGGCTTTGCCTTGCCCTCTTAAGCCCCACCCTGATTAGCCCCACCCACTCAGCCCCACCCCACTTAGCCACACCCCCCATTCGTCCCCAGCCCATTGGGCATTACCCAACCAGCCCCGCCCATTCACGCCCATTCACTGCAGCCCCGCCCATTCACACCCAGCCAGGTCCATTCATCCCTATTCACCACAGCCCCGCCCATTCACGCAGCCCCGCCCATTCATGCCCAGCCCGACCATTCACGACCATTCACTGCAGCCCCGCCCACTCACACCCAGCCAGGCCCATTCATCCCCATTCACGCAGCCCCGCCCATTCACACC